TCACTGGTTTAGTCACTTCTTGGCTTCTTGGCTCAGGAAGGTCAGGGGAGAGTTAATTATGATTTACTCTCAATGACAAGTGATGATGGCAAAGTATTTTTAAATAAGGCTAAAATATGGTTAGGATCCCTTAAACCAAGGGACCATTGGTCCATAATTTACCTAGGTGGTTTAGCTGGGTTTAGACTGGTCAATAGAGTCCAAATGGTGGCTATGGTGACAATAATTTGGTGACTTTGGCATGACTAAGTCAATTTTGGTGAAAGGTTGGGTCAAAATGGCTAGAACTTGGGTTTGGTTTAGGCTTTCCATGATATTGAGCCCAATTGATTCATCAATTTGGTGTTGAGGAGTTTATAAAATATTTGGAGTGATTTTGAATTAGTTTATAGGTTCAATTTGGAGGATTTTGGGTATTTGGTTAATTTGGAGGTGTTGAGTTAGAATTGGGTTTAGGTTAGGCTAATATTGGGTTAAGTCAAAATTGATGGTTTAAAATGGTCTATAAGAATGTCATAAAGAGTTTCCAACATAAATTGGGTGTCAATTTTTAGGTTAGGTCATTCAATTTAGTGGAATTTGGAGACATAGCCAATCTGGGGCAAATTTGGGGATTTTGAATGTGGGTTGAAATTGAGGCATGAACAAGGCCAATTGAAGGTCCAATTTATGTGTAGGATTTTTAGGAAGAATTTAGGATTCAAATATGGGCAATTAAGTGGATCATACAGTTCAATTAGGTGAGATTAAGTCATAGGGTCAAATTTGGGGTTTAATTTAGATCAAAATTGAGCTCAAAGCATGGGTAAATTAGGCTTGTATTTGGTTTGAATTGATCATATGAAATATTAATTTGAGTTTAGATTTGAAATTGGGGAGGATTGGGGCCAAATTGATGGGTATGTGAGCAAATTGAAGGGTATGTGAGGTGAATTCGGAGAAATTGGGCCTTTAAAGGCAATTTGGGGCTTTTTGGTCAAAGTGGTCAAATTGGCCAAATTGGGTTCCATTAAAGGTTCCAAATTGGTTTTTGGGACATTTGAATTGATTTTGAGGGTTTTGGAAAAATTTTGGCTACCAAGGGTTTTTTTTGTAATTTTGGCAAATTTGAGGGTATTTTGGTAATTTTAGAATGTTTGTGATGTTTTGGGCAATTTGGGAAGTTTTTCAAATGTTTGAGATGATGTTTGAATAATTTTGGGTATTTTAGATGAATTTGGGAATTTTGGACAAATTTAGGGTTTTAAGGCATTTGGGTAATTTGGGTGGATTTGGGGGCAAAAAGCTAAGTTGGATATTTTGGTATAATTGGGGTGCCAACCACCTTATATGAGCTATGAATCAATTAAATCCCCATTTAGGTCCTTTATGTACTGGTTTTAGCTAAACCCTAGCCCAGGGCCAGTGGGTATAGGGAACCATCTACATGAGTTTCCCAAAAGATCAAGGGATCAAAGTCAACAAATCTGTGTTTTAGGGTTGTGAGTGAAAGTGGGTGCAAGTGAGTGAACTAGCTCCAGACCAACATCCAGAGTCAACAGTAAGGTCAAGCAGTTCTATGGGAATTCTCCTTGAGCTGTCTCATAGTGGTCACACCTATTAAGTGTTAGAGGTTAGTGCCAGTATATGAAACTTCAAGTTAAGCAAAGAAGAGTTTAAAATTTCTAAAGGTGAGCGTTCCTTTTCTAGGTTTTCTAGAAATAGTCAACAGGAAATTCCTATGGCTAGACCCTAGGCTACTAAAGAGGAAAAACTAACATCAACTAAAAGTGAGGTCAACAACACATCACCCGATTTTCTATATATATATATATATAGCACCTAAAAATTTATTTTATTTTCCACAAGCCCTCTTAAAAGAAGAAAGATTTTCTTAAATAACGTCCAATCCTTACATATTCATTGATAATAGTAATAATAACAATCCAGTAGAAAATTTTATTGCTCCAAACAAATTTACATCAAAGTGGTCGAAAGTTCCACTACACCCCATCACACTACATCTCACACAAAAAAAGATAGAATCTTGAAACCTAAGGCCACAGTACAACTCACACAAACAAACTAAAAAATAATCACTTTCTTACACGAATGAAAGGAAGATCCAAATAATCACCATGAAGCAGCCGAGAAAGCTACCCGAGAATCTTGTTGAAAACAAGATATATATATATATATATATATATATATATGTCTCAAAATTTTAAATAAATATAGTAATCATGCGCACAAGGGTCTTCAACTCCACATGGATTTTTGTTTCTCCGGTGCATATATGTTACTGCAAAACTTACTTTATGATGCATAAGCTTAACAATATTTTGTATCTCTATGTGAAATTTTTTAGGGTCAAGACTTCGCGAGATCAAAGATTACAAGCATGCCAATAACCACTTGACACTTGGGGAATTTGATCCCAGCTAATATAACCAACAATGATGCCAAGAGCTTGTAACTGGTCAGAGTATGAGAAACAATTGACAATGATGTCGAGAGCGTTTGATCGGTCAAAGGCAAAAGAAACACCCGGTAACAACAAGCTCTGGAACAGGCACATAGCTACAAGACTCCCCTTTGGGGAAAGCAACTGCAAGTCTTCCCGCCGATGCAAGCAACTACAAATCAAAACTCCTCTCTGAGGGGAGCAACACTAATACTCCCCTTTAGGGCGAGCAACTACAAGGCTCCTCTATGGGGCAAGCTACTCTAAGGCTTCTTTATGGGGTGAACAACTACCAGACTCCCCTCTGAACCGATCAATTTTAAAACTACCCTCCAAGAGGAGCAACAACAAGGCTCCCCTCTAGGGCGAGCAACTCAAAGATTCATCTCTAGGGCGAGAAATTGCAAGACTCTTCTCTAGAGAGAGCAACTATTAGACTCCCTTCATGGGCGAGCAACTCTAAGACTCCCCTCAAACACTAGCAACTATAAGACTCCCCTCCAGAGCGAGTAACTCTTTGACTCTTGTAGGTAATGGCGAAATTACTAGAACCGAGCGCTCAAAGCACCTAGTAAGGAGTATCACTAGTAAATTGCGTATTCAAGGCTTGTTTGCTTTATAAATTTTCATGTCCTCATTGTAGTTGTCATTATCAAAGAGCAAGAAAATTGTGGAACTTAATATATAAATCCACAAATAGTTTGCACAGATCTCAAGGTAATATAGTAGTCGACCACCTCACTTCAGTCGGTCGGTTAAGCTCTCTCTCAACCCCCTCACTTCAGTCAACTAACCAAGCTCTCTCCCTTGGCCACCTCATTTCATTTGGGTGACCAACTCTCTCATTTGGCCAACTAAATAACCACGCTAAAATAACTATCATCTTCATAAAATTCACATATAAGCCACTTAATTTCTTATGTATTGAATGTCATTAGGAAACATGAATTTGACAGCCTACATCAATCTCGAGACGATTCAACTATCGAAATAAAAAAGACTATAATGCCCATTGCTTTTCTCTTCTAAACATAGCAAATATGTTTTTCTCTAAAAAAAAAAGAAAAAATAGAACAAATGAGTGAAACTCAACCAAAAATATAGAAAATTAAAAAACATTGCATAAACATACCATATTTATGAATTTAATTTTCATCAGAAAAATAACCGTCTAAATTTTAATGTTTTTTAAATTATTTCTCTTAGCTACCAAAACTACTAAACTTGCAGCTGGTATCAAGATAAATTTACAAAACTGGTGCAAAATCCAATTAGAAAATAATTTTAGAAAGTTGATGAAGGTGTAATGGTAAAAGAGTTATATGGGTAATAGCTTTTCTTCAAATTTTAGATAATTAAATTTATTTGCTTTATTAAGAAAATCATTATCTTTATTGAGATAATTTATCATGTAGACATTCACTTGAAAAATAGCCCAAATTGATTGAGTCTTAGTCAAGCGTCGTTATTTAATTCATCAGAAATCTATTTGAAGTAAATAGTAAGAATTTTGTCATATGTATATAAATTCTCCTCAACAATATCTCCAAAACATACTATTGGATGAGTTCATAAAAAAGGTAAAATAAAGTTTATCATGTACTCTTCACTAAAACAAATCTTCCAAGAATGCACTACAGTTATTGGATCAAAATTCGCCTATGATGTGACACCAAATGTCCATAGTAGATTTGGACCAAACAAACAAAAGAAGTAAGAAAGTATGCTTATATATATTTTTATGATTGAGATGTCTAACCCAAGAATTGACTATTCCCTTAAAACACAAAAGGAATTGTCTACCATGCCAAAAGAGAAGGGATAAAGTCTAAATTTTTATTTTTTTTACCAAAAAATATAATGATATTCTATTAATAATCATCCTTAACTCCTTGTTTATTATACATGTAATCTGTAACTGTTGAAAATTATATTAAATAAAAAAACATATAAAAATATTAAAAAGAGACTTAACAGATAGCTATGTAGGAGATGAGTCAAATTGAGCATTTTCAAATATATAAAATTTTTTATGAAGCAACCTACTAGAGGGCGCATGAGTCCCATGGACAAGCTTTCAAGGGAAAATTACTAGGAAGTCATGTTAACTTGAACTAGTTAACTTTGGCTAGCCTTCTTGGATGCATAGTTTAGTTGGCATTGACTAATAACCAAAGAAAGTACACATTTTAATTTGCTTATTATGATGTAAATAATTATGAATTGGGTGGCATGTATAAAAATGACCCTTTACTATATATATATATATAATATCTGAAATATGAATTTTCTTCAATATAATATAAAATTTTAAAATTATTATTTTTTGTAATTTGATAACAATATATAATATCACAATTAAAAAGAAATCACAAAAATTTACTATTTGTGGTTGCAATGCAGATGACACATTAAACAAATAATCACACTTAATAAAAGTGTTAGTGCTTCCAATAACAACAACAAAAGAAAAGAATCCGGTCACCTTCCCCATCTGACAGTCGTACGCCTTCGAAGACAAACAGATTCCAGTATCCATTAAGGATATCGTGTTTAATGCAACGAATTGATTTCGCTCGCACTCGGCCGAAGCGCCCCCCCAATCACCTCCATCCAGGGATGATGAGCTTTCTGTACGGACGCCAAACTCCTCAGCCCTCACCGCGTGTGACTGCGCGTGCGCCGATGCCACCACCCCTCAAACCCCATCCCACGCTCGTGCATTGAGCCCAGTCGGCCCTCGCTGCCACCGCGCGTGCGCGCCTAACTCCGTCCCCCTTTCTCATGTAACGCAACCGCCCGCGTCACGCCCCTCATCTCTCTCCTCTTTGGATGCTTGCTGCATTCAAGACATGTTTGGTGGAGTTCGGGGGAGCCGGGTGGACCCGTCATCATCAGTTCCCTGTCGAGCTGTCACTTTTTACCAAATCGCACAGATTAATTTCGGGACAAGCCGGCCACGCCCTCCATGTTTGTGCATGCTTCCTCTCCCTCTCTCTCTCTCCTCTCTCCTTTCTATAATGATTCTTGCTAGACCCCGCACTGCTTCTCCAGCTAGCTCGGATGTTTGTTCTTTACCCGTGTCTTTATTTAAATGTGCGCATACAAGAGGGAAGGGCGAGATAGCGAAGGCTAAATGGACAGGCGGGCTCGGGCGACTAAAACAAAAGACAAGACAGCGGGTACGCGTTCCTCCCTATTTTCTGTTCGCCCCCAAACCGACCTTTTTTCTAAAATGTTTCTGTTCTTCGATGATTTACAGCTGTGGAGGAAACAATCGGATTGGATGCATGCGGAAAGCTTGAGAGAAAAAGAAACGTTTCGTCCAACGGTGTGCCCTGCTCTGTTTTACATGATGCTATTTCCGTCGGTGAAGCGTATTCCGACAACAAGATAGATGCCACCGGGAGTGAGGAAGAAGAGGAGGAGGCGGCGTTTTGTGAGGAGGGGGTGAAGAAGAAGATGGGGGTTTTAGCGAGGATGGTTGGCATGGAGGGATGCGGCCAGCCGGGTGTCGTGCTGACGGAAGTTGTGCGTGTTCTGAAGGAGCTGGACGGTAGAGCTCGAGGCGTCTGCAGCTCTCGGAAATGATTCATTTAGAGTTGAATGGAGCGTGGATGGTTTAAGGGGGCTATATATAATTAACGGTTTCAATTTTTCCATCTATGAATCTTCTTCTTTGTTCCTTGTTCTGTTTTCCTTCCTATTTGAGTTACAGTGTCGAAGAAAAGTGGCTCTTTTCAATTGCTCCGTCATTGGTCTAAAATTGGATTCTGTAAGAGTTCAAATGGAGGAATACCGCCCGAGTTTAAAAGATGTATTTGAATAGGATGAATACGTTAGGTGGAGTTAGTCGGAGTAAGCTGGACTTCGAGTTCAAAAAAATGGATCTCAGGATCTACTCGTTTATAAAACATGCATTTGGTAACCAAGAAACACTAAAAAGCTATTGTCCTGAATTGGTATTTATTTTTTATTTTTTATTTAGTTTATACTACGATTACAATCTTATGTTGAAGTATGGCTGGCTGGCATTGACGGGTTCCGCTTATGCTGCTGCTTGAGTATAGGGATCTCTTTAGTATAAATAATTTACTAAAATAATTAAGGTTTTTGTTGGATTATAGGTGGGTCAAATTTTAGAGAAATTATTGCGTACTGACACCCCATGCATCTCTGCATGCAGTGTCCGATCTTGACCGTAGATCACGGTGATCTACGGTCAGGATTATTTCTGCCTTTTTTTAAAAAAAAAAATTTTAGATGGTGCCCACCGAAATACATCGGAAGCGTAGATCAGGTGATTTACGGTCCGGATCGGACACCGCACGGTGTCCGATCCGTATGGAATAATTTTTCCGAATTTTAGCTGCCTAAGTAATTTAATATATTTCAGTAGCATATTGTATGAGGTATTGTAGTTTTTATTAAATCATGTGTATTTGGAATAAATGTTTTTTTATTTTTATTTTTTGAGAAACTTGAGACCTTATCAACTTTTTTTTCTAAGAAAATACAGTGACTAGCCTTTACTAAGCTTTTTATTTTTGTTTTTGTTTTTTTTTTTTTTGTTGCCATTATTCACCCACATAGGCAAGAATACTAAATCATAATTTGATAGGTACCTTAATAAGCCAAACAATACAAAAACAAAAAAGAAGATTGACATACACACTGTTCAATTCTTTTGTATTTACATATCTAAAATCTACATTTTAAATTTTTTATGTTTTTCAGCGTATTTATGCATGAGGGTCTATTTCATTTTCTTAAGTTAAAATGGTTATATTTTTAATGTGTTATGAATATTTTAGGTGATGTAAATTTAAAAATAAAATATAAGTAATTGTTAAGTAAATACGTTGGAATTGGGTGGCATGTATGTAAATGGTTCTATAAGAAAGCATGCCATAAATCAGCCGAAGAAACAACTCTTGCTAGTATGTAAAACCCTTCCATGGTGTTTCAAGTATCATCGAATTATTTCAAATAATTGTGCCTGTTTTTAAATCAAATATAAGCTTAATTAATATGAGACAAAATATGATTGGATAATTAGAATCCATAGACTCAGTACTCCAATATAATGACAATTCAGTAGGGTCGTTATCCAATATTTGAGACTACTGTTATTTTCAGGGCAATTACGGATGTAATTTTGTGCCTTGGAATAACTGTCTTATTGATAGCTATAAAATTTTATGCATCAATGCCGCACAGCGCTGCTCATTCCATTAGGTTGAAGATAAGCTATCTTGAAATATTTAAGAACACTTACAAATTGCAATTTGAAATATTAAATTGAACTGCGTTTCATGAGAGATTAACAGCAGATACAAATCTTTCAGTCTTACAACGAATAATTAAAGAAGGATTAACATACATTACACTTAATTCTTTTGTATTCATGTATCTAAAATCTAAATTTTAATTTTTACATAAACATAGTTTGTGCTCACCTTTTAAAAATTAAAATAGTGATATTTTTGTTATGATATGAAAGATTTGTGTCGTATAAATGTTAAAAATAAAGTATAGGTGCTAGTTATGTAAATAAATAGGAATTGGGTGATGTTTGGCTTTGATCTGGTTCATCATCTACCAGCAAGGCCATAAACCAAAGAGTCGTCAAATTCAAGAGATTATAAAATTCATTATGAATTAAAGTGATCAGGAGTCCAATTTAGAGCAATAAGAAAAAATATAAGTTATATATGCAAATTCGAGACTATGGTTATTCAACCAAGGTACTTAAAAATACAATAATTTGTAAGTAGTAATACAACTATAAGGCTTTTGCTGCATTCCTTGGAAGAAGCTCCACCAAATAATTGGAGTTGGCAGACTGCATCACAATATTGTACAGAAATAATTCGGGCATGGGGTGTGGGTGATCTTGATCTACAGTCACAGGGCATGGACGAAACGGCCAGGGTCAGTCTCAATGATGAGCACTCAGCAGTAACGGGCGCGCATATAACCAGCAGCAGCATAGCCCCTAGCACTCCTAGCGGCTTTATATATTAGTGATCATTATGGGCAGTGGCCCATTTTGCAAGCTCACTGCCTCAATTCCTAACATGTAAGTCATAAATCAACTAATATTCTAATCGTCTAAACTTATAGACACATAACTGACTATTTAATGTCGTAGCTTTTTATGAGAAATTTCATTTTGTCAATTTACATCGGTTCATAAAATCAATGGCTATTCTATCGGTAATGCGACAACTTACACATCTAAAAAGTATTCCGCCCGTCACTTTCTAAATAAAGGCATTCCGCCGGTCAGTTGTCACTGATCTGTCGGTTCTTATAACTGAAGGATAAATTGTCGGAAAAGTGGCACGTCGGTCGTTTTCATATGATGCATTTAAATCGTCGATTAGATGTCAGTTAATAAGTCATTGTCTAGCCGTCTATTTTGGCTACTAATATGTTAAAATTAGTCACAAAACCGCTGATAAGCTATTGGAAGCCTCTATCAGAAAAAAAAAGATTCCCCCTTCTGTATATACATTACTACACATGTTATCACAATATTTAATTTATTATTCCAAGCATTTAACAAACTAAAATAACATTCAAACAGTAAATTACCTAACCAAATAACAAAATAAACAAAATGCATTTAATTTTACATAAATTCATTAATGTTGATAGAAAGAAATATTTGTTCAAATGTACAACATAATAATAAAAAAAGGGAAAAATCCCCACTAATCATCCTCCTTTATCTCCTCATCCACGTCCTTATCGTCCTCCTACTCTTCTTCCTCCTCCACAGCTGCCTTACCTCGTTGCCTCATCTGCTACTGAAAGAAATCTAACTCAGCCTTCAGGTTCTATTTCATGTTTGCTTCTAGCTTCGACCTCATTTGATTTAAATGGGCCTCCATCTTGGCAATGAATGCGCCAACATGCCTTGATACCTGCTCCTCTTGTGCAGTAGAGGTAGAAGATGTAGGTGCATGTTGTAGACAAACCATTATGACCCGAGCTTGTAGACTCAACTCTTTTTCTTCCCTCCAACAGCCTCCCTCTATAGGTCCTACTTGGAAGGATCACGATTGTACTAACTAGCCCAAAGAGTTTACATCTCAAAAAGATACATCTAGCAGTATTGTACTAGACCTCCAATTAATGTCTCATGTGGTAAATGTACAAGGAGATGCTCTATTGAGTTAAAGAAACTAGGCAGAAATATTATCTTGAGCTTGCAAAGTGTTACAGGAATTTTTGCTTCCAACTGGCGTATGTCGTCAAGCTTCATATGAGCTACACATAGTTCCCAGAAGAGCACACCGATTTTAATCAGTGGATTAAGGACTACACTCAGCAAACAACTAAATGTGGTTGGCATCAAATTTTGTAGATAAATATGATAGTCATGGCTTTACCTTCCAAATATTTTTCTTGCACCCACATTAACATAACAACTCAAATTTGAAGCATACCTACTCGATAATTTTTGTGATTGAAGCCACTTGTTGGGACAAAGTAAAGGAAAAAATTGCTTTGTGCTTAATGAGCTTGCCGACAGTAGTTTTTTAGATCTCTATTTCTCACCTTTTGCATATCTCCAAATCAGGTCTAACACTCACATTATCATTAGTTCTTTCGTTAACATTTATCACAACGTTAAAGATTATATCAAAGAAAATTTTCTCTATTCATGACATTCAGATTATGTCTGATCGTATTATCCATCCATTAAGGTAGATCCTAAAAATTTAACTTTTTTTTTCCAATTATTAGTGGCACCAAATCTTGGTAGATGATATGAAAAAGGTCAGGGCATACAATAATCTCTGAAATATTACTAAGAATTTGCATTATATCTTTCCAGATTTTTTTGTAAGTAGCGATGATTTCTCAATTTTGCTCCCTCTAATTGCATTATTGTTCCTCTTGAAGGGATGCTCAATATCTTCAGACAAATGGTGATAGTCAAACCATGAATTCTTCCTACCATGCTGAAGTGTAAATGACTTAAATAAATTCATGCAATATGGACAGGCTAATTTTCCCACGGTGTTCCACCCAGATAACATTCGACATAATGGATAATCACTTATTGTTATCATTAATGCTACTTTCATAAAAAAATTGTGTTTCATGAAGACGTCATATGTCAGGACACTAATCTCCCAAAGAATTTACAGCTCATCTATTAACGACTGTAAAGATATATCAATCCTCTCTTTAGGCCACTGGGATTGGGTATAATCAGTGTTAGTAAAAAGAAAGGGCTTGTCATGCATAGCTCAGGTGACAAATTGTTTGGTGTAGCAATCAACAACCAATAAGAGTAGACTGATGCGGTTTGATTGTAGGGTGTGAAACCATTAGAGCATACGCCAAGCTGAACATTATGTGCCTTTGCACCAAACTCAGAATATGAGTGATCAAAATATTTTCACACATTTCCATCTGATGGATAAATCATTGAGTTGTTTACTTTTGATCTACTATGATGACACGTCATATGTGGAGCATTACACATAGAACTGAATAGCCTTTGTAGACGTGGAATAGGCGATACATAGAAAAGCTGCTTGAATATAAATTTTTTCTACCTCTTACTTATTCTACTCTAAGGTTTGAATTTAGGAGAATTACAAAATCTGCATTGAATCTCCATCATGTTAATCTTGTAATATAACATACATTCATTTATACAACAATCAATCATCTTTGTATTAAGCCCTAACTTGGAGAGAAACTTTTTCATCTTGTATAAATCTTGAGGGACTAAATTTTCAGGTGGATTAGTCTCTTTTGGTAAGCCTATTAACTTGTTGAAGCATTCTTAGGGAATGTTATACCCTGTTTTGATTTTC